TAGATGTAAAGACATTTCAAAAGCTGATGGACAACTTTTTAGGATTCTTCAGGAAGAGCATTATGTACAATATGTTCACTGAAAGCACCAAATTTGGTTTTCTACTTCTTGAATTTTTCTGAAGAATCTTGAAGTACAAATTGTTACTTTAAGGAAAAAGGTAGACTTTTCTTAATATTTTGCCCCTACAGTTTAGTTTACAATGCTTTGCTTTTTTTGCACTGATAAAGAGCATCTAAAGAGTTGATCCCCAGATTACACTGATGGAGAACAGGACAGAGGTGACCGAGTTCCTCCTGCTGGGACTGACCGATGACCCACACCTGCGGCTTCCCCTCTTCATCACCTTCCTCCTCATCTACACCCTCACTGTGGCTGGGAACCTGGGGATGCTCCTGCTGATCCTCCTGGACCCTCGTCTGCACACTCCCATGTACTTTTTCCTGGGTAACCTGTCCCTGGTGGACTTTGGATACTCCTCAGCTGTCACTCCTACAGTCATGGCCGGGTTGCTTACAGGACACCAGGTCATTTCCTACAGTGCCTGTGCTACTCAGATGTTCTTTTTTGTAGCCTTTGCTACTGTGGAGTGTTTCCTGTTGGGCTCAATGGCCTATGATCGCTATGCAGCAGTGTGTAAACCCCTGCACTACACAACCACCATGACCACAAGTGTGTGTTCTTGTCTTGTCACAGTCAGCTATACCTGTGGCTTCCTGAATGCCTCCATCCACGTTGGGGACACATTCAGGCTCTCCATGTGTAACAACAATGTGGTCCATAATTTTTTCTGTGATATTCCAGCAGTTATGGTTCTCTCCTGCTCTGATAGACATGTCAGTGAGTTAGTTCTTGTCTACGTTGTAGGTTTTAATGTCTTTTTTACTCTGCTTGTTATCTTGATATCCTACATCTTCATTTTTGGCACCATCCTAACAATGAGCTCAGCTGCTGGATATCACAAGGCTCTGTCCACCTGTGCCTCCCACTTCACTGCCGTCTGCATCTTCTATGGGACAATCATGTTCATGTACCTGCAGCCCAGCTCCAGTCACTCCATGGACACTGATAAAATCGCCTCTGTGTTCTACACTATGGTGATCCCCATGCTGAACCCACTGGTCTACAGCCTGAGGAACAAGGAGGTCAAGAGTGCTTTCACAAAAATTATTTTGGGGAAATATGATCATTAAGACTGATTTTACTGTTGATTTTACTGTTGTAGGGTGACAATATGTAGTTTCAGATATCTCTAACATTCATGAGCCAATTTTTATTTTAAGACCCACATTGAATTCCAGTGCCTGTAGTGAGGCTTAATCTGGAAGACAGTTTTATCTAAAAAAATAAAAATTAAAAAGCACGGCAACAGATTTAGCTCAGTGCCGCAGCCTGCTTCACAAGTAGAAGATCCTGACTTAAATCCCTGGTGCCAGAAAGAAAACAAAACAAAACAAAAGAGAAAAGAAAAGAAAATATTATGTGCTAATATGACATTTTTATTCAAGTAAAGTATCTAAGGATATAAGTGAGTTAATAAGTCATATTGCATCTATCTTTAAAATGAATAACTGCTTTGAAAAATGGGATCACAGGGAAACCCAATAAAAATGTAGAGTTCACAAGACTCCTAAGGTCACATGCTAGTGGGGCAGGAGGATTTGCCAGAATTAGTTGTAGGATGGATATTTGTGACCATTTATTTTATATATCAGTCTGCCTGAGCCTAGGGCAAACCCAATTAACTGCTAACATATTCATGTGTGCTCCTATTAGGGTATTTATAAAGGTCTAAATGTGTTAATCCTGAAATGAAGAGAAAACTCTGCACTCCACAGGGTGGGTGACCATCATCCAACCGCTGAGGTTTCCTGGAATAGAACACAGAGGTGCACAATGGCAGATCCCACGACTCCATCTTCTTTAACTGGAAGCTCCATCTCCTCTCCCTCTGCGTCTCAAAGCTCCCGCTTTGTAGGCCCCGGTGTAGAGACTCTGGCCAGAGTTCCACCTCACCCTGCCCAGGTGCGGGCTGTTAGCTCAGACAGAGCTGCACCCCAGCCTTCCCATTTCTCAAACCGGCAAACAGTTGTAATCCCTTAGTGGAGTCAGCCCTGGAAATAGGCTACATGGGCTGTGAACGAGGCTGTAGGGATGGGGCTTCCCAGGTCCTGTAAACTCATCTAACCATGTGTACAGGCTGTTGATGGAACTACACTACTTAAGGTTTGCCCTCTGCATTTGAGTGTGGCTTTGGTCTGTTTCATTTCCATCCCCCTATTTCTGTGGGGGGGGCACATGTGTGTGCATGTGCGTGTTGTAGGACTTTTTATGCTGTGGCATTGTGGGATATGTAAACTACTTCTGATTTTTATACAGATTTACAGCTAAGGGTTTGCCCCGAGTCTCAGAAGATACTTCAACTTAGACTTTTGAAAAGTGCTAAAACTGTTGAGATCTCAAGAAAGCATTCTGCATTTTTTGGTTGTACACAAGGTAGTTTTATCATCATAGGTGGAATTCTGAACTCCATTTATTGGGGGAGTCAGGATGCTTTAAGGAGATGTGTTCTGAGTATCAAGGTGTTGAGGGTGTGATGTGGCCATTAAGATGCAGCACAAAATTAATTGACTTTGGGGCCCACCTCAGGGGACGGAGGAGCAGGCTCTGCCCTAGGTGGGTGGGTCATGGGGGAGGCTTTGGACCTGCATCTGTCCTTCACCCCTAACTTTCTGGCACTGTTCCCCTCCTCTGCATACTTGCCACCATAAACCACGTAGCTCTGCTGTGCCACTCCCTGTGCCAGGGTATTTCTGCCTTGAGGCTGCCAACCATGCTAACACTTCTAGATCCATGAGCTAAACTGAAATTTCTCTCCTTGAGCTCTGCATGTTGGATTTGTGTATCAGTGACAGGAAGGCTACAATATCCTCTGTATCTCTATCGTTAAGAAAATATCAAGGGCTTGGGTGTTTGCGTTATTTGCAAAATCAGGAAGTATTAGTCTTATTCTATTCATTCTAAACACATCTGGGCCTCTGAGGTCCTCTGCCTTCACATAGGCATTGTAGCACTGGGTCTCTGTTTTATGGAACAGGCCTTTCGAATTTCAACGCCAGCTCTGTGACAGAGTGGAAAGCGTTTCCCGTGCACATATTCTCCAACGCAGGCTGACGAAGACTCAGCTGCAGCTGCACTTGCAGAGCCATGCGGTCTCCTCAGACTCTGACACAGGAGAGAGACAACCTGAGGGTCACGGGTGTGCTTCCACCCACACAGAAACACTCCCGTCAGTTCTTGCTGAAGTGCCCTGTCTGCAGCTCGTACACGGCTCACCTGCAACTGAGCAAGCCACGTAGAGAAATACAGGCTTGAATGCCAACATCTTCTGTGCTCTGTGTTACCCATATGGGATTAATTTCTAAAAATAAAACATGAATGCTTAACCTTAGGCTTGTAGATACTACAAATGTCCTGTGGTTTGTATATAGCATCTGACAGTAGTCTTAGCCACTATTGGAAGATGAGATCATATTATCTATCTTTTCTGTGTTCATCAGCCATCCCTCTGCCAGCATGAAATACCTGAACCCAGAAACTTAGAGGAAACTTTAATTTTGGCTCACAGTTTCAGAGGTCTCCACGCATGACTGGATGACTGCACACTCTAACTAGCATGTAGAAGGGCCTGCTAGAGGGAAGACACTCAATTAGTGCTGGGAAACAGCAGAAAGACAAGGGACAGGGACAGAGGCAGAGCAGGAAACATGACCTCCAAATTCTAGGAATGCACATCCTCCAAGTGGGCCCCACCTCCCAACAGCCCACGAGGCTGTGAACTCCCTGACTTACTACAGAGTTCAGCACCCTCATGTTCGAAGCATCTTCCGAAGGCCCCACCTCTAAGCACGCGAGACACTGGGGCACATCTGACATCTGAACCATGAAATGTCCCTTTCTGATAAAGCTGAAATTGGGAAGGGTACAGTTCTGAAGCTCCGCTGTCTTGGTCATGTAACGGTCTTATAACCAAGCCCACAGTTGTGTCGCAAGCCTTCCAGGATCTGAGAGCACAGAGGGACCGTGCAGAGGACAGAACGGACCCGTTGCCTTCCAGGAGAAAAGCTATTCCGGGTCTTAAATGACACGGTATGACTGTGGGGGGTCTTTTTAAACTTTCTTGGGGGGGAACAGGGTCTCACTATGTAGTTGAGTCTGATCTGGACCTCACTATATACTCAAGGCTAGTCTCAAGCTCACAGCGATCCTCCTGCCTCAGCCTGCTGAGTGCTGGGATTACAGACATGTGCCACCACATCTGGCTTTTTTAAACATTTTTGAAGAGGTATTTTTATGAAACAGAAAAAAATCTATTACACAGAGGGTGACAGTCATGAACAGTATTGTAGTATATGCATCAAAAGAGAAGAAAGAATTTTCAATGTAACATTTGAGTCACAAGTAGTAAACATTTGGGTGAGTGGATAAAGTGCCCTGAGTTTGGCAGCACACCTGGTATGTGTGGACTGAAGAGTCACATGGTGCTTCATATGGTATTCAATTACTGTCTGCCAGTAAAATAAAATTATTATATAAATTAAAGAAAATACTGTAAAAAGTGGTTTCACAGAAGACAAAGCATCTTTGGGAATCACTAAAACTGAGAGTGAAAAAAATTATATAATCTTAAAACTACAATTAAATAGGAACACACTGTACTTCGGAATGCAAAATGATAAAGCCACTTCCAGGAACAAGTGCAGGTTCTTATTCAATAAAGTATGCACCACACGACCAAGCAAATCCATTACTGCATATTTACTCAAATGAAACACAAATCGATTTCACATCAAAATGTTAGCCAATTTTTAGATCAACTTTATTTATAATCACCATGCACAAGATCAAGAAATGTTGCCCTGAACTAAGAATGAGAAAAATAATGTATGAAGTTCATTTTCAATATTCATAACCGTAATAAAATATTTCCATACAAATATATGCATCAAAATGTGCCCCAACTGAGTTCGTGCTGAGCAAAGGATGCTACTATCAGAGCCCACTTCTCAGATTTGAAGGAAGGACATTTTACCAAAGGCAAAATTATATAGCAAAATGGTTTATTAGTTCCCTCAAAACTGGGTATAACGGAAGGAAACAACACAAAGATCAGGAAACTGAATAATAGTTACATGGCTATACATTTAACAAACATTGATAGAACTCTAATATATTGTGTATATCGCTCTGTGGGATTATACATTAATGAGTAATTTACAAAGCACACGTAAATACTCAGAATATCCAAGTTATTCCCCACAGGCAGTTCGCTTCTTCCCTAGGAAAAAGGGAAGGGAACTGCAGGTGCTGTCCCCGGGAAGTCCCCAGAGCCCCGTGTCTGTATAATTTACTCCTGCTCCCTCTGCACTGGCTTCTGATATCACCCACGACTCTAGGCCGCTTCCCTTCACAGGGCCCAGACCGAAGTCCTCCCCCTTGAATAGCCTCCGTCATCTGAACGGAGACAGATGCTCATGCAAACGGGCTTTCTCCCAATTTCATGATTTTCTAGCTGCCTGCGACATAGTTAAGGGCCGATCTCAAAAATTAGTTCGAGTGAATTGAAAATGATACTGTTTATGAATACAATTCTGTGATTTGTGTGACAGAGGTAATTTTATTGATTTTATTTTACAGTTTAGGAGGAGGTAAGTGACTCTTCTAAGGATCTAAAAAACATGCGTGGTAGATTCTGGACTTGAATCCGTATTAATACCCCTTGTTCCATGGGTTCTTTCCCACCTCAGATACCCAGGAAACATTGACCTGAGGGTGAGCTTTTCAGCTACAAGTGCGGCATTAACCTGTTGTTGAATTTCTGATTTCAACTTCAATGTTGAGAGTGATGCATGTATTCAAGAAGCTAAGTGAGCTACTATAATCAAAATGCATTCTTAGGAAAACGGTATCTCGTGTAGGAGCCATGGAACAGCTATAACTACTGTTAGTTATTGAGCACAGAAATCTGTTTTAATTTCTTTCCTTAGAAAGAGGTGACTAGGAGATTAAAGCATATATTTATGGATAAAAGAAACTGAGGAGTAAAAGAAGCCATATATAGGCTTCTTTTACTCCTCAGTTTCTTTTTCCTTTATCCCCAGGGCTAAAATACCATCTAGGGAAGTACAGGAAATTTCCAACACCAGTCATCCATCACCTATACTGTTGTTTTTGACTATTATTTAGAGGAGCAACATGCTGTACCTTAATTAAGTATTGCCTGCCCACCAATGGGATTTTGGCTCTTTAATCTCCTAGTCACCTCAGCATATATTTATTAGTTATAACGTAATGTTTTAATATGATTTTCCAACATTGAATGTACCACGAAGAGAGGCTGTAGGCTAAGGTCAAGAAATAAACTGAATGCTCATCCCTCAATCTCAGTAATTGAAATACTGGGAGATGTGCCTGAGAGAAAGCAGGAACACAAGAAACAAATGCTTTCTTTCATTCCTTCTTTCTTCCTTCCTTTCTCTTTTTTTTTCAGCTTCAGCTGTTCTTTAAAGCCATATGGGTGGGCTGAATAGCAACAAGCCTGGAGGTTGTGGCAGATTCTTCCACTGCGAGGTAAACTACGGATTTCAAGAAAGAAATTATGGAAAAACAAAACAAAACTCCCTGCTAAATTGGAGAGCTAAAGCAGGCAGAGAATCCCTGGGGCATGTAGAGAAAATCCAGTGGCCCTACTGTGAGCAGAGCTATTGGGAAGGAAGTTTCAAGATTTCAAAACGCACCCACACCTGAAAACTGGCATAATGCCACCCACCATACTGTTTCGATAATTCCTTGTATTCATGCTGCTCACGCCTCAGAACTTAAAGACTATTTTTATGCAGCTTCACCTTTACTTTACATGATAGTATCTTCAACAGATATCATGGCTTTTTCCTTCTTCCCATACTATGTGCATATTTATGTGTAAAACTTCAGAATACCATGATGAAACATTCAAAAATGTACCAAATACTACGATTTTTGGTTTGGTTTGATTTGTTTAGCTCATAAGCACATAAAACTTGAAAACTGGAGAGAGACTCACTGTAGGCATTTCCGGTTAAACTGTCTGTAACTCTAAAGATAATCTAGAAAGTCAGTTGTGTAGGTAACCGTGTTTATGTGTAAAACTTCAGAATACCATGATGAAACATTCAAAAATGTACCAAATACTACGATTTTTGGTTTGGTTTGATTTGTTTAGCTCATAAGCACATAAAACTTGAAAACTGGAGAGAGACTCACTGTAGGCATTTCCGGTTAAACTGTCTGTAACTCTAAAGATAATCTAGAAAGTCAGTTGTGTAGGTAACCGTGCGCTTAGGACAGAGGTGACCGAGTTCCTCCTGCTGGGACTGACCGATGACCCACACCTGCGGCTTCCCCTCTTCATCACCTTCCTCCTCATCTACACCCTCACCATGGCTGGGAACCTGGGGATGCTCCTGCTGATCCTCCTGGACCCTCGTCTGCACACTCCCATGTACTGTTTCCTGGGTAACCTGTCCCTGGTGGACTTTGGATACTCCTCAGCTGTCACTCCTACAGTCATGGCCGGGCTGCTTACAGGAGACCAGGTCCTTTCCTATGCTTCCTGTGCTACTCAGCTGTTCTTTTTTGCAGCCTTTGCTACCGTGGAAAATTACCTCTTGGCCACGATGGCCTATGACCGCTATGCAGCAGTGTGCAGGCCCCTGCACTACACCTCCACCATGACAACAGGAGTGTGTGCCTTTATGGTCACAGCCTCCTACATCTGCGGTTTCCTGACAGCCTCCATCCATGTTGGGGACATATTCAGTCTCTCCTTCTGTAACTCCACTGTGGTCCATCACTTTTTCTGTGATGTTCCAGCAGTTCTGGTTCTCTCCTGCTCTGATAGACATGTCAGTGAGCTAGTAGTTGTCTATGTTGTAGGTTTTAACGTCTTTTTTGCTCTTCTTGTTATCTTGATATCCTACATCTTCATTTTTGGCATCATCCTCACAATGCACTCAGCTGCAGGACATAGCAAGGCTCTGTCCACCTGTGCCTCCCACTTCACTTCCGTCTCCATATTCTACGGAACGGCCATCTTCATGTACCTGCAGCCCAGCTCCAGTCACACCATGGACACTGCCAAAATTTCATCCGTATTTTACACCATGGTGATCCCCATGTTGAACCCACTGGTCTACAGCCTGAGGAACAAGGAGGTCAAAAGGGCTTTCACAAAAATTATTTTTGGGAAATATGATTGTTAACACTTTGATTGTACTGTGGTAGAGTGGCAATATCTAGTTTCAAATATCTCTAACGTTCAAGAATGAATTTTTACTTTAAGACCCACATTGAAGTACAGTGCCTGTAGTGGGGATTAATCTGTAAGTCAGTTTTACTAAAGATAAAAAAGAGGGCCAGGTATTTAGATCACTAGTACCACCAACTTGCATCACAAGTAGAAGATCCTGAGTTAAATCCCTGGTGTCAGAAAGAAAAGAAAACAAAAGAGAAAAGAAAAGAAATTATTATTTGCTAATATGACATTTTTATTCAAGTAAGTTATCTCAGGATATAACGGAGTTGATAAGTCATATTACATCTGTCTTAAAAATGAATCACTGCTTTGTAAAATGGGATCACAGGGAAACCCAATAAAAATGTAGAGTTCACAAGACTCCTAAGGTCACATGCTAGTGGGGCACGAAGATTTGCCAGAATTAGTTGTAGGATGGATATTTATGACCATTTATTTTATATATCGGTCTGCCTGAGCCTAGGGCAAACCCAATTACCTGCTAACATATTTGTGTGTGCTCTTATTAGGGTATTTATAAATGTCTAAATGTGTTAATTCTAAAATGAAGAGAGAACTCTGCACTCCACAGGATGGGTGGCCATCATCCAACCCCTGAGGTTTCCTGGAATAGAACACAGACGTGCACAATGGCAGATCCCACGACTCCATCTTCTTTAACTGGAAGTTCCATCTCCTCTCCCTCTGCGTCTCAAAGCTCCCACTTTGTAGGACTCAGTGTCCAGACTCTGGCCAGAGTTCCAGCTCACCCTGCCCAGGTGCAGGCTCTTAGCTCAGACTGAGCTGTACCCCAGCCTTTCCAGTTCTGAAACCAGCACGCAGTTGCAATCCCTTAGTGGAGTCAGCCCTGGAAATAGGCTACATGGGCTGTGAACGAGGCTGTATGGAGGGGGCTTCCCATGTCCTGTAAACTCATCTCACCATGTGCACAGGCTGTCTGATGGAACTACACTGCTTAACGTTTGCTCTCTGCATTTTGATTTGGCTTTGGTCTGTTTCATTTCCATCCCCCTTTTTCTTTGTGTGTGTGTGTGTGTGTGTGTGTGAGTGTGTGTGTGTGTGTATGTATATGTGCACATGTGTGTGTGTATTGGGAAATTTTATTTTGTGTCATTGTGTGATATGTAAATTACTTCTGATTTTTATACAGATTCATAGCTAAGGGTTTGCCCTGAGTCTCAGAAGAGACTTCAACTTAGACTTTTGAAAAGTGCTAAAACTGTTGAGATCTCAAGAAAGCCTTCTGCATTTTTTGTTTGGACACAAGGTAGTTTTATCATCATAGGTGGAATTCTGACCTCCACTTATTGGGGGACTCAGGATGCTTTAAGGAGATGTGTTCTGAGTATCCAGGTTCGAGGATGGGATGTGGCCATTAGGATGGAGGATAAAATTAATTGACTTTGGGGCCCACCTCAGCAGTGGGAGAAGCAGGCTGTGCCCTAGCTGGGTGGGTCATGGGGGAGGCTTTGGGTCTGCATCTGTCCTTCACCCCTAACTTTATGGCACTGTTCCCCTCCTCTGCATACTTGCCACCATGAGCCAAGTAGCTCTGCTGTGCCACTCCCTCCTCCAGGGTATTTCTGCCCTGAGGCTGCCAACCATAAAGATTCACATGTATCTAGGACCTAAACTGAACTTTTTCTCCTTGAGCTCTGTATGTTGGATTTCTGTGTCAGTGACAGGAAGGCTACACGATCCTCTCTATCTCTATCATTAAGAAAATATCAAGGGCTTGGGTGTTTGTGTTTATTTCCAAAATCAGGAAGTATTAGTCTTATTCTGTTCATTCTCAACACATCTGGGCCTCTGAGGTCCTCTGCCTTCACATAGGCATTGTAGCACTGGCTCTCTGTTTTATGGAACAGGCCTTTCGAATTTTAACACCAGCTCTGTGAAGGAAGTGCAAAGCGTTTCCCGTGCACATATTCTCCAATGCAGGCTGACGAAGACTTCAGCTGCAGCTGCACCTGCAGAGCCATGCGGTCTCCTCAGACTCTGACACAGGAGAGAGACTACCGGAGGGCCACGGGTGTGCTTCCCCCCACACAGAAACACTCCCGTCAGTTCTTGCTGAAGTGCCCTGTCTGCAGCTCGTACACGGCTCACCTGAAACTCAGCAAGCTACGTAGAGAAATACAGGCTTGGACGCCAACATCTTCTGTGCTCTGTGTTACCCATATGGGATTAATTTCTAAAAATAAAACATGAATGCTTAACCTTAGGCGTGTAGATACTACAAATGTCCTGTGGTTTGTATATAGCATCTGACAGTAGTCTTAGCCACTATTGGTAGATGAGATCATAGTATCTATCTTTTCTGTGTTCATCAGCCATCCCTCTGCCAGCACAAAATGCCTGACCCCAGAAACTTAGAGGAAATTTTAATTTTGGCTCACAGTTTCAGAAGTCTCCATGATGACTGGTTGACTACAGACTCCACACAGCGTGAAGAAGGGCCTGCTAGAGGGAAGATTCTCAGTTCCTGGTGGGAAACAGCAGAAGGACAAGGGACAGGGACAGAGTCAGACCAGGAAACATGACCTCCAAAGGATAGGAATCCACCCACCTCCCAACAGCCCACGCAGCTGTGAATTCACTGACTTACGACAGAGTTTCGCACCCTCATCCCTCATGCTCCAAGCATCTTCCGAAGACCCCACGTCTGAGCCCACGAGACCCTGGGACACATCTTACATCTAAACCATAAAATGTTCCTTTCTGATAAAGCTGAAATTGGGAAAAGTTAAGTTCTGAAGCTCATCTGTCTTAGCCACATACCCTTCTTATAACCATACCCAGACTTGCACGGTAAGCTTTCCAGGGACTGCAAGCACAGAGAGGACAGAATGGACCAATTCCCTTCACGGAAAAAAGCTACTCCTGGGTTTCAAATGAAATGGTAAGGTTGTGAGGGGTTTTCTTATTAAACACATTTGAAAGGGTATTCTTATGAAACAAGAAATCTATTACACAGGCTGTGACAGTCACGAACAGCATTATAGTATACACATCAAAATAGAAGAAAGAATTTTCAATATAATATTTGATTCGCAACTAGAACACATTTAGGTTAGTGGGTAAAGGGCCCTGAGTTTGGAAGTACACCTGATAGGTGTGTACTGAAGAGTCACACTGTGCTTTCTTATTTCAATTATTGTCTGTAATTAAATAAAATTATTAAATAAATAAAAATAAAATAGCATAAAAAGTGTTTTCAGAGAAGACAAAGCACCTTTCAGAAACAGTAAAACTGAGAGTGAAAAAATTAATCTTAAAACTGTGACTAAATAGGAATACCCTATATTTGGGAAAGGAAAATGAGGAGGCCTCTTCCATGAACATTTGGGAGTTCTTATTGGATGAAGTGCATTTGCGACATGACCAAGAAACCCCATTACTGCATATTTACTCAAATGAAATACAAGTCGATATTCACACAAAAATGTTGGAAAATGTTTTGATCAACTTTATTCATAATCACCAAGCACAAGATCAGGAAATGCTTCCCTAAACTAAAAGTGAGAAAAACAATGTATGAAGTTCAGTTTTTACATTCATCACCATAACAAAATATTTCCCTACAAATATATGTAGCAAAATCTGCCCCACCTCAGTTCATGCTAAGGAAAAGATGCTATCAGAGCCCACTTCTACAATTTGAAGTAAGGACATTTTTGCAAAGACAAAATTATATAGAAAAATGGTTTACTACTTCTCACAAACTGGGTACAAAAGAGGTTGACAACACAAAGATTAGGAAATTGAATAATAGTTGCATGACTTAACATTTAACAAACATTGTTAGAACTCTAATATATTGTGCATATCACTCTGTGGGATTATACATTAATGAGTAATTTACAAAGCACACGTAAATACTCAGAATATCCAAGTTATTCCCTACAGGCAGTTCGCTTCTTCCCTAGCAAAGAGGGAAGGGAGCTGCAGGTGCTGTCCCCGGGGAAGTCCCCAGAGCCCGTGTCTGTATAATTTACTCCTGCTTCCTCTGCACTGGCTTCTGATATCACCCACGAATCTGGGCCGCTTCCCTTCACAGGGCCCAGACTGCAGTCCTCCCCCTTGAACAGCCTTCCTTCATCTGAACGGAGACAGCTGCTCATGCAAACGGGATTTCTCCCAATTTCATGATTTTCTAGGAGCCTGCGACATAGTTAAGGGCAGACCTCAAAAATTAGTTCAAGTGATTTGAAAACAATGCTCACTACTTATAAACACAATTCTGTGAATTGGTGACAGAGGTAATTTTATTGGTTTTATTTTGCAGCTTAGGAGGAGGTAAGTGACTCTTCTAAGGATCTAAAAAACATGCGTGGTAGATTCTGGACTTGAATCCGTATTAATACCCCTTGCTCCATAGGTTCCTTCCCACCTCAGATACCCAGGAAACATTGACCTGAGGGTGAGCTTTTCTGCTACAGGTGCTGCATTAATCTGTTGTTGAATTTCTGATTTCAACTTCAATGTTGAGAGTGATGCATGTATTCAAGGAGCTAAGTGAGCTACAATTATCAAAATGCACTCTTAGGAAAACTGTATCTTCTGTAGGAGCCATGGAACAGCTATAACTACTGTTATTTACTGAGCACAGAAATCTGTTTTAATTTCTTTCCTTAGAAAGAGGTGACTAGGAGATTAAAGAGCCAAAATCCCATTGGTGGGCAGGCAATACTTAATTAAGGTACAGCATGTTGCTCCTCTAAATAATAGTCAAAAACAACAGTATAGGTGATGGATGACTGGTGTTGGAAATTTCCTGTACTTCCCTAGATGGTATTTTAGCCCTGGGGATAAAGGAAAAAGAAACTGAGGAGTGAAAGAAGCCCTATTTAAGTTAGACGAAGCATCAAAAAGAATTAGCAATTTCTGAATTTCACTTTAATATTTTACCTGTAACTTTGTCCTTATCGAATGCAGCACCTCCAT